CGTTTTTGATTGAATCTGGGCCGTCCGTGCGATTGAATCTGGGCCGTCCGATCGCGTGATTGATCTGGGCCGTCGGATCGCACCCACGCGGATCGCCAACGTGGCTCCTTTCGGAGTGACGCGATCTTGCCACGTGGCAGGCCCTGGTTGGCCGGGACTGCTGACGTGGCTGCTGACGCGGCTGCTGACGTGGCCCCCCCTTTTTTTTTTTTTTTTTTTTTTTTTTTTTTTCCTCCTCCTTTCCGGGTGCTACAGTTTAATTATATTCAAAATCATAATTTAACATAAATTATAAATTATCAATTAAATAAGAACTCATAACATTGAGACTAAACCGTGGTGCCCATCAATTATTATTTTTTTAAAAAAAAATTTTAAAAACAGAATTAATACTGTTATAATTTATTAACAATAGCATACACGAAAAGATATATTCTAACTTCACTTGTAATAATTTTTATTTGTGACTCCTTTAACATTTATAAAATTACAAAAAATATTGATGCCTTCTTTTTCTTAAAAAAAAAAAAAAAAAAAAAAATTGAGGTTAATCTAGGCCGCTTTAGCTTTCAATGTACGCTTTCATATAGCCCGGGTAAATAAATTGAATACATACATACATACATACATACATACATAGTTTCAACGAGGCACTGGTGGGTTAATTAACAAATAATATAATTAAGTAGCACAGAGCCTACATAAATATGGACCATACCAACAAATTTAATTGAGAATCAATAAATTAATTGTATTAAAGTTGGACTCCGCATTATGGTCAGAATGTGGATGGCACTGAGGTTGCGTGGAAACTTATGTTTTGTTTAACACTTAATTCTCACTGTTTATATATATATATATTTATATAACATAAAAAAAAATAAATTAATATACATATATATATATATATTTAATTAAAGGGTTCGAGAAAAGAGGTAATAATTGATATAATAAAAAAAAATAAAATTAATTATTAAATAGGCGAAAATAAATAAAATAAAAATGAAGCGTCTCCGTCAAATATTTACCCAAAGGTAAAAGAGTATGTGTCACTTTCTTATTAAGACCCTAACTTAAATTAATTTGATTGCTTTTAATTCACACACCCATCTCAGTAGGCAACCGGGCCGCCACTCTCATTATTATCAAATTAACACTAATTATTCGACTGGCTAACACCCAAAATACTTCTTCACTCACCTTAAAAGGTCATTTTAATTTTCAACCAGAAATTAAAAAAAAAAAAAAAAAATTGAAATTGATCAGAGACAAACAGGTGTTTTTATTAAGTGTTGAAATATTTACGGAAGGAGAGAAAATGAGTTTTGGAAATTGGAATATCAAAGAAAATGTATGTAAATTATTATAAGAAACCAGTACAATAGTGCGGTAACTGGTAAACTCAGAGTTGTCCGAGCAAATTGTCTCCTCAAATATCAACCAACTCTGACCATTTCTCTCTCAATCTCCATCTTTCATTTATCTGCTGCTGCTGCACCAAATAAAAAGCCTGCTTTGGCTTGAAACCGATTTAATTAAAATAACCCGCATACTTAAATTTGATTAATTAACAAAACCTATGTAATTAACTCTCACGACCCGTCACTGACACCCATTTCCCAGTCCCGTCAACTCCGCTAATCGCGATCCAAATTCTTGAGAGTTTCGGAGTTCCACCTCAAAATTGATTTTAATAAAATTTTTAAATATATTTGTCAAATACTGGCGTAAAAACATGGAGAAAGGTGTCATTGGAAAGAGCAAGGAGACAAAAAAAGTAAGAAAAATTCGGCGGCAGGATTTTTTCCTCTCACTCATCAACGATTAATCATCCGCCACGTGTATTCCGTAAACTTAATCATGCTGCTTAAAGTCGATTAGGTAGAGTTAATAGGGTGCGCGTGCGCGTGCGCTCCGCATTGCTGCTGACATCTCTCGGTTAGTTGACTTTTCTATATATTTTTTAATAAATTACTCTCGTTTAATTCCTCACATATTATTATTTAATTATGAAACAATAAACTCTCTCACATGTCTAACACGGAGTTGTAACTTTTTAGAACATAAATCTGCAGCCCACCCATTCAGTTTCCAATGGTAATTAGATATTAACTACAAATTGAATCGATGCTTCTGACAACTCATTTTATAAATTCTTTCTTTCTTTCTTACACATTTTTAATTAATTCTTCCTCTTAGGAATTCTCAGTCGCTTCCTTCCTTAATTCTCCTTCGGGTTTGAAGTCACAACCTTTTAAACTTTTTGGGACTTGACTTTTAACCACGTTGAATTTAATGGCAGTTGGGTTTTCGTTTTCGTCTTACAATTCAATCTGGACAATTTCGTCGGTAAAAAATCCAAAATCATCTTTTGTTGGTATAGATGCTGATCCCAGTTAGAAAGATCAAGAATAGTTAAAAATTTGGGAGATATATCTAAATACAACCTAAAGTTTTAAATTTTATTCAAATTGATCTTCCCTTTTGACAGTGTCTCAAATATCCTTAGAGAGATATAATGTGTCTACATGAAAAGCAAAAATTGCCAACATGGTATATCATTCACAAGATATTGATACTCCTCTCGAATAGTTCAATCTTTCTTTAGCAAGGCCGGAATACCTGCAAATTGGGCATAATAGGTTAGATTAGTTTCAGATATGAGCAACTCATAGGTGCTCTCTCTGGCTCTTCCACTTGATAGTGTTCCACAAGTACATAGAACATTAAATTTCTCCATCCTATAGCTCCTCCAGAGACTTGAACGGTCCATTAGGCGATATCAGTTTTGTTTTAGGCAGTGTTCTTCGTTGAGGAATGTTATCGATCTTCGTGTAATCATCTGGGCTTTAATTCCCAATCAAGGAGAGCTGCACGTTCTGCTCCACCCTCTCTGTTGAAGCTCTTGAACAACGAAAGACACTCCTTGCTCAAAGGCCCATCTCAAACAAACCTGCCAAACATGCCATATAATCTTTTAGCTACTAATCCATCTCTAGAATAAGATACTTAGAAAATATCAAGAACACAAGGTCATTAAAGATATTAAGTAATGGAACCTGGGCAACCGTCTTGCCATGAGCATTAGCGATCTCCTTCAATGTCTCATTGTGTCCATAACTTGATTGGTGCCCCAACCAGTTCCTTTTGCTCCCAAAGGAGAGTATGCCATTACAGTGATATTATTTGACTTGCAGAAAACTCTTGAGTTTTTTCTGTTGCCATACAGGATTTACTTCCACCTAAACAAAAATTGAGCGCCCAATCAAATCAGTTTGACCTTAACCGGTAAAGCAAAAAACTTTTTAGCAGAGACTTGAGACTCACTTGATTGATTGAAGGAGGGACAGTGGCAAAAGAGAGTATGTTCTCAAGCTCTTCTTGCAAGAGAAGTTGCAGACTCCAATGGCTTTGGTGAGGCCAAGTCTCTGACACTCTTCCATGGCTGTCCACACAGACTTGAAATCCATAGGTAGCATCTCATCTTCAGGAATTGGGAATTGTACTTTTCCGGGTTTGGCACTTACGGGCCAGTGAATGAGATACAGGTCAAGGTACTCCATTTTAAGGGTCCTGCTTGCTTAATTAATCACCAAAAAAATAAAGTTCCCAAATACCCAAGTCTGGATTATTCATCACCCTCCAACCTCTTCTCTCTAATTCCTTACTAATATGTTATATCACCTATAAACGATTAGATTAAACAACATTAACAATTATAGCAAATTATAGAAAAGTGAGAGGATTGCACAAGGTTTTCCAAGTCAATGGATGTTACAAATTCATCATGCTGAATAATTTGTAATTCTTATGAACAGATCCTAAGAGCAAGTCAAAAAAAGCCCGATTTATGAACAAATCTATTCGTGAATAAAAAAGGTTTTTGAGAAAAGAGCGATTGTTGGTTTACCTGAGAGAATTTTGCGGAGCAGGGATGACGAAATGAGCATGAGAAATCACTGCACCAGAGCTTGGAAATGATAAAGAGTTCTTGGCGAGAGGCGACAAGTCCGAGTCTTAGAGCTTCTGCTATGGCTTCTCCCAGATGCGTCTCTGATCGGTAAAGGGCGGCAGTATCGAAGACTCTGTAACCGAGCTTGATAGCCTCTAGAATAGCCCATTTCATGGTAGTCTCGTCAAAAGGGTCAGCCGCCAAGCCCATGCCGATCACGGGCATTCGCCGGTTATCAGCAGAGGAGCTTAGCATCACTTGAGGGATCATGTTGATTTCTAGTTGTCGACGGACGGTCTGCAGTCATTCCTGCTCTGAAGTTTTCAAGTTTGGATTTTATCGCTGAGCTCTGATGGTGTTGGTAGACGTCTTTTCTTTTCTGGGTTTGGACGATAGCAGATTGGTGTGGCTTTTGCAAAGTCGTCCTTGTGTTGGAATTTTATTTATTTATTTATAATTTAACAAACTTTTTAAAAACTGAATAATAAATTAAAAATTAAAAATTTTAATATATTAATCAATCTTTAATTAATTAAATTGAATAATGAACTTATTTATAAAATTCTTTTACGTTTAAAAATAATTTTGTTCTGCTAAAATATTTTCTGAAATTTATTTAAAACAATTATAAAACTTCATAAAACACAAACTCGGTCGGGCATTTTGACACTACCGCTTTGTGCAGCAACAATTGCTCTGCTCATCTTCTCTGGGTTTTCTGCTTCTCTGCTTCCGCTTTTTCTTCTCAGAAAGCTCGAATTGCACATGTACACACTATTCTCACCGGAGCCATATGGTTTTGCTTCTCTGCTCTTTTGCCACGTTCGACTGTGGTTCGTGTGAGGAAGAAGGTTAAGTTGGGGCTTGGGTATGATTTGCATTTATGTTCTATTTCTCCTATAAGTTCAAAGGTGCAAGTATTTTGAGACTTCACTCAACTGCATTTAATTTAATTGCGTATGGTGTTTGTTCTGCGATTCAAAATTCTGATAATTAGTGCCTCATGCTTAGCCAATTACGAAGATTAAGAGGAGTTAGAAATTGCTTGTACTCAAAAAATGAGTTCATTCACAAGATTTGTTTGAATCTTTTTGTAGGGAGAGAATAGTACCCAAATGAATATGCAAATTGGCATAATAATTTAGATTCATTTCAGGCATGAACAACGCAATTCATACTCTTGCTCTTCTACTTGATGCCTGATAAACAAATTTATACATGATTAAATCTCCCCATCCCATAAATCATCCAAGGACTTGAAGGGTCCATTAGGCGATATCAGTTTCAATTTAGGTAGTAATCTTCGCTGAGGAATTTTGTTGATCTTAATGTAATCATCCGGTGTTAATTCCCAATCCAAAACCTGCAGATTCTGCTTCATCCTCTCTTTGTTGAAGCTCTTAACAACAAAAGCCACCCCTTGCTCAAAGGCCCATCTCAGACAAACCTGCCAAAAAATCTTGTAGCTAGTAATCAATCCATCACTAAGGTGAGATAGAAAATATCAGAATTTCAAGTCATTAAAGATAATTAGGTATTGGAACCTGGGCAACAGTCTTGCCATGAGCTTTAGCAATCTCCTTTAATGTCTCATTGTCCATAACTTGATTGGTGCCCCAACGAGTTCCTTTTGCTCCCAAAGGTGAGTATGCCATTACAGTGACATTATTTGCCTTGCAGAAATCTCTGAGTTTCTTCTGTTGCCAGAAAGGGTTTACCTCCACCTTAACAAAAATTGTGTGTGCAATTAGACCTTTTGGCTCTCTGACTAATAAGGAAACAGATGTTTGGCTGAGAGCTGAGACTCACTTGATTGATTGAAGGAGGGATAGTGGCAAAAGAGAGTATGTTCTCAAGCTTCTTGCAGGAGAAGTTGCAGACTCCAATGGCTTTGGTGAGACCAAGTCTCTGACACTCTTCCATGGCTGCCCAAACAGACTTGAAGTCCATCGGTTGCAATTCATCTTCAGGAATTGGGAATTCAACTTTTCCAGGCTTGGCACTGATAGGCCAGTGGATGAGATACAGGTCAAGGTACTCCATTTGAAGGATCCTGCATATATAGTTAATCACAAACAAAAGAAATACACAGCACTCAAGTTTGAATTATTACTACCCTCTAGTCTCTTCTCTCTAATCAAATAACTATAATTACTATAAGGAGAGAGGTTTTCGCGAAAGAGTGGCTATTAAGAGGTATACCTGAGAGAATTTTGCAGAGAAGGGATGACAAGGTGAGGATGAGCGTTGGTGATCCAGAGCTTTGAAATGACGAAGATTTCTTGGCGAGAGGCGACAAGGCCGAGTTTTACAGCTTCTGCTATGGCTTCTCCTAGAGGCCTCTCTGATTTGTAAAGGGTGGCCGTGTCGAACACTCTGTAACCAAGCTTGATGGCCTCCAGAGCAGCCCATTTCATGGCAGCTTCATCCAAAGGTTCAGCTGCCATGCCCATGCCGATCACCGGCATTCGCGGTTTTCCAGAAGAGGAGTTTAATATGACTTCAGGGATCATGTTGACTTCTTGTTCTTGCTGATCAGCAACCATTTGTGCTCTGAAGCTTCCAATTTTGGGTTTTAACACAGAGCTCAGAGACTTGGTGGGCGTGTTTTGCAAAGTCTTCTTGTTCCCGAGGGAGAACAACTCAAAGATTCTGAATTTAATAAACGTGATAAAAAACTGAATCAGTTAAGCCAAGTAATCTTACAAATTTGTATCTTATAATTAGCAATTTGATTCTTTTTCGATGACTTTGCCAGCATTTTTCTCCTGAACGGTTAGTTTTTACTATAAATAATTTGTTTTTGATGAGACTGAAAAACAATTTAATTTTGATTTGCAAAATTTGACTGATAAATAAAAAAATTATCAACCCCCACGAAAATACCGTACAAATTCTTCTTGTGATCTGGTATACTTCGTTTGAAACGTAACTCATTTTAAATAAATTAAACAAGGAATATAGTATAAAAGTGTGCTTCTTTAATTATTATACAGTATATTTCTAAAACATATAATTTCATGGTTATGAAATTATAAACTCAATAGATGGGTTCATATTTTATTACAATTAGTTTATTTCAAGTATATTGGTAAAAAGATTCATGTAAGTTGGGTTTGTTGGGTCAACTTCATAATCATAATTTTAAAGCTAAAATGTCATAGGATTAATTCATAGTAAAGGTCTTTATTTTCTTGAATTGAAGAAAAACAATTAGCTTACTACTTTTTGATGATATGATTATTAAAATTTTATCCTATTGCAAATTATTCAATCTAAATTTTACATTTATAATTTCAGGTACAAATTAATCATCACCATCCACATCCACATCCTTTTTTTATGAGACTAAAATCACAGGGTTTGTCCGTATCCAGTTTTCAAAGCCCTTCTTCCAATCCATGAGAAGAATAGCACCCAGTTCCATTGCTCACTCTAAAAGCTCCCTGTAAAGACTCCACCATTTTATTTCTATCCATGTAAAGACCAAAAATATCAAGTACTAAATTTACAAAGGTGAATGTGTTGGAGGGCAAATTTGTCATTCTAGTGATTGTGAATAAAGAAACTGACTAGTAGTAGCACTACAAAATGGCACCTCTCACTATCCTCTAAATATCACCTTTTCACTACCCAAACCCATTTCATATATTAATACAAAGATATCCACACACCAAACATGCAGACACAGCCTAAGAGTTCATGACCAGGTCCAATACCACATTCATTACAACAGAGAAGACCAGCAGACAATATCTCAACTGGACTAGTGTATTTTGATCGCTATCTTGCAGATGGGAAGTGTATAATCCAGGAAATATGCACGAAACGTACTGAAAGTTTAACACAAAGAAAGATCAACAGAGACACAGGATCATAGTTGTTGATCTAGATATGGATCCCTAGGGGCCTTTCCTCCCCCCAGATAGCCTCCAATGCTTTCAGAAATTCCAGTGCCAAAGTTTGTCAGCAAGGAGTTTCCCCATGCAAGCCATCCCGTCTGAGCCTGTTGCTCGCTCGCTTGGACCATGCTTTTCTCTTGTTCTTCCTCTATGATCTGGACCCATCTCTTTGCCATGAACTCTCTCACAGCTTCAGCCCCTTCATTACCAACCTCTATTGTGGGAATTACTAGCGGGTTCTGATCCAAGTTGAGCTTTCTTAGTTTTCCAAGCCGATAGAATGTGTCAGGAAGAGCTCGGATTTGGTTGTTGCTCAGGTCAAGCTCCCTGAGGTTAGATAGATCGCCTAGTGTTTCTGGGAGCTCTGTCAAGTCACTGAAATTACTGCTTAGATTCAGAACCTCCAGGTTTGTCAATCTACCTATCGCGCGTGGCAGCTGATGAAGCTTATTGAAGTGAACATCTAGATACCTCAGTGACCTCATTTCACAGAGAGATGAAGGAAGAGAACGAATGTTATTCAGCTGAATTGAAAGCCTTTCTAGATTAGGTAGTCCATACCCAATATTTGCTGGCAAACAAGTCAAGTTGTTAAAGCTTGCATCTAACACCACCAGTGAACTGAACAGACATAAATTATTCGTCAGAAAGAGAACTGATGAAAAGAGCACCAGATAAAAGCAGAAGCAAAAAGAGGAAAAAGAAGAAATGTACTGCATGATTAGTTGTAAACACACCATAGTTTTAATTGTCAACAATGAAAAATATATATTTTTTTGGAAATAAGCCAACAGTGAAAAGATATTATACCTGCAATGGCTAATACTTTCAGGAAGAGCATTTAGCTTGTTTCCAGACACATTCAGGACCCTCAAATTCAGCAACAATCCAATAGAGTCGGGCAGAGACTCCAGAAGGTTTGAAGAAACATCAAGTTCCTCAAGTTTCTGAAGTCCTGCAATTGCATCAGGAATAATCTGTTTACACAACAAACAGATTAGAGATCGTTATGAACAGAATCAGAAATAGACCAAGAGTCCCAAGTAATCACATTTTACTTGACAAAGCCCAAGAAAAAGGCTCTTCACCAGCTAAAAATGGAAAAAAGAGAGTTGATCTCCATAAATTTCTTGCCAGTTACATCCTTATCTTCAGCAGTTGTTCTACAACTCAAGAAGCCTAACTGTTAGACATATGGCATTTTAATTCCAGCACATTGATCTATTGTTTCTGTTAGTTTCTTTTCAGTTTCATTTAGTTTCTCATCAATTTTATCCACTATGTTTAGTGGGGCGTTATTAGAGATGTAGTAAGTTTGGAGCTGCTTATGGCTTAGATATTGGCAGCAATTTCTCATCAGTTTTATCCATTATGTTTAGTGGGAAGTTAGTTATTTTTCTTGCCTATAAATTCTGCAATTCATGAAATGAAATCAAGCTGGAATTTTTACCCAATTTTTTAAGTTTCAGTTCTTCCAATTTTTTGTTTTAAGCAACTGCTATTCTGTTTTACAACAGTAGTATCAGAGCCATTGTTGATCTTACAGGACCCAAACAAAACTTTTTTTTTTAACCCCTAAAAAGGGCATCCAACGATCTACCTTTAAATTTTCCCAGCATCTTCACTAGTGAAAACTACCACATTTGTTGAGTGAAGATGCAAGCTTTTCTTGAAGCCTATGATCTTTGGGAAACTGTGACTGAGGACAAGCCTATACCTCCTCTACCAGCAGATCCCACTTTAGCTCAGATCAAACACAACAGCGAGGAAAAGGCAAAGAAGTTCAAAGCCAAGTCACTTATTCAAAATTCTGTTAGCAGATTGTGTTTTCTATAGAATTATGGCATGTGATACTGCGAAGGATGCTTGGGACAGGTTGAAAGAAGAATACCAAAGCAGTGATAGAACATGCCAAATGTAGGTGTTGAATCTGAAAAGAGAATTTGAATCTCTGAATATGCAGGAAGATGAAACAATTGGTAAGTATGTTGATCGAATCTCTTTGATTGTTAACAACATCAGATTACTTGGTGAAGATTTTGCAGACAAAAGAATTGTGGAAAAAGTGCTTGTAACTCTTCCTGAAAGATTCGAATCAAATATCCCATCTCTTGAAGAATCCAAGGATTTAAGACTGATCTCATTAGGTGAACTAACGAGGGCTCTTCAAGCACAAGAGCAAAGAAGGACTATTAGGCAAGACAGATTAACTGAAGGGGTTTTCCATGTGCAAAAGCAACAAGTTGGTAAGGGCAAGAAGCAATTCAATCAGAAGAGCAAAGGCAAAAATGAAGGTGGTGGCAGCACTGAAGGTACAAAACAGAAAAATTTTCCTCCTTGCATACACTGCAAGAAGACCACACATTCTGAGATATACTGCTGGTGGAGGCCTGATGCAACTTGTGGGAATTGCAAGCAGTTAGGGCACATTACAAAGGTCTGTAAATTCAAAAATAAAAACTTAAAACCACAACAAGCTCATTTAGTAAATGCAGCCAATGGACAGAAGGAGCAACTTTTTGTAGTTTCTTACTTCTCAACAAATGATTCATCTGATGCATGGCCAGTGGGTGCACACATAATTTGTGCAATGATTCTGAAATGTTCATAAATCTTGATGAGACTTACAAGTCCAGAGTAAAAGTGGGCAATGAAAATTTTTTGGAAGTCAAAGGCAAAGGCTCAGTCAATGTTCAAACAAGTTCAGGTATTAAAACTATTTATGATGTTTTGTTTACATCTGAAATCAGTCAAAATCTACTGAGAGTTGGACAAATGCTTGAGAGAAACTATTCTCTTGAAGTTCTGGAGAACAATTATTTTGTATAAAGATGAAAAATGTAAATTTTGCTGTTGATTGGAAAAAGGTTTCTGAACATGCCTATTCCAGCACCATTCAGGTTGCTTCAAATCTTTAGCACAAAAGATTTGGACACTTTAATCAGATAAGTATCTCAAATATGAAGCAGAAGGAGATCGTTGAAAACATGCCTACAGTCATTGGTGAAATTCAATTGTGTGAAATATGTCAACTTGGCAAGCAGACTAAACAACCATTTCCTAAAGGGCAAACACGGAGAGCCAGCAAAAAGCTTCAGCTCATCCACACTGATGTTTGTGATCCTATGAAAACAGCTGCACTTTGTGGTAATAAATATTTTATCATTTTCATTGATGATTATAGTAGGATGTGCTGAGTTTATTTTATTAAACTCAAGAGTGAAGTGTTTGATGTCTTTAAAAAATTTAAGGTTTTAGTAGAAAATCAGAGTAATATGTTAATTAAATGCTTGAGATCTGACAATGGTACTAAATATACTTCGAATCAGTTTGTTGAGTATTGTAATAGTGCAGGTATAATTCAGCAGTTTACCATACCATACACATCACAACAAAATGGTGTGTGTGAGAGAAAGAATAGAACAGTAATAGACATGGCTAGACGCCTTTTACTTGAGAAGAAGATGCCAAACAAACTATGGGCAGAGGCAGTCAATACCTCTGTGTATTTGCTGAACAGATTACCTACGAAGGCATTAGAGAACAAGAAACCATATGAAGCCTGGAATGGTGTCAAGCCTGCTGTGAATCATCTTCGAATATTTGGCAGCATACGTTATTTTCAAATATCTGAGCCAAAAAGAAGCAAACTTGACAACAAAGCTCAAAAGGGCATTCTTGTAGGCTATGGGACAGCAACCAAAGGATACAAGATTCTCTGCTTACAAACAGAAAAAGTCATCCTAAGCAGAGATGTGAAAATTGATGAAGCAGCAACATGGGATTGGAAAAATAAAAAAAATGTATATTTTGATTCTTCATTTGATATCCAGAACCAACTTGAAGTTGATGAATTGGTGGATGATCTTCCAGTTAGGGGTACAAGGACCTTTGATGACATTTACCAAAGGTGCATTATTGCAATCATTGAACCTACCAGCTATGCTGAAGCTCAAGGTTTTCTAGCACGGAAGAGAGCAATGGATGCAGAAATGGAGATGATCAATAAAAATAAAACATGGCAGCTGGTTGAATGGCCTAGGGATCGCAAGATGATTGGTGTTAAATGGGTTTTTAAAATAAAACTCAACCCAGATGGTTCAATATGTAAACACAAAGCCAGATTGGTCGTGAAGGGTTATGCTCAGCAATATGGAGTGGACTAGCAGGAGACTTTTGCTTCAGTAGCAAGGTATGGTACAATCAAACTTCTCATTGCTCTTGCTGCTTATAACTCTTGCCAGATTCACCAACTCGATGTCAAGTCAGCTTTCTTGAATGGTTTTCTTGATGAAGAGATTTTTATAGAGCAAACAGATGGATATGCTGTTCAAGGAAAAGAGAATCATGTGTACCTACTTAAGAAGGCCTTATATGGTTTAAAACAAGCACCTCGAGCTTGGTATGACAAAATGGACAATCATCTTAATCAGCTTGGATTCAACAGAAGTCAAAACGAAGCAACCTTGTATGTAAAATCCTATGGTAATCATTTCTTAATTATCTTTATTTATGTTGATGATATGCTAATCACAGGAAGTCAACGTGGACTGATCCAAGAGTTCGAGAGCGAAATGCAAAAAGTGTTTGAGATAGCTGATCTTGGAACTATGAAATACTTTATTGGAATGAAAGTGTTGCAATTTAGCCATAACATTTTCACCTATCTAACAGAAATATGCATTTGATATCCTAAAGAGGTTTAAAATGGAGGATTGTAAACCCGTGGGGACACTTATGACAACTAGTATCAAGTTAAGTAAGGATGATGACTCTGAGAAGGTGGATATAAACTTGTATAGAAGCTTAGTTGGCAGCCTTCACTACCTCACAGCAAGCAAACCTGATATATTGTTTGCTGTATGTTCTTTCAAAATTTATGCATTCTCCAAAAGAAACTCACTTCACAGCTGTAAAACATGTACTTAGTCACATCAAAGATACCACTACTCTTGGTACTTTTTTCCCAAAATCCTAAGGAAAGACTTTGAAGTTGATTGACCACACTGACAGTGATTGGGGAGGCTGTGTTGATGATTCAAGAAGCACTTCAGGGTACTTATTTTCTCTAAATTCTAGTTTTTTTACTTAGAGCTCAAAGAAGCAAGAGACAACAGCTCAATCTACTGTAGAAGCTGAGTATATCGCTGCTGCCTGTACCGTCAACCAGGCTATTTGGTTGAGGAAGATGTTTAAGGATTTGGGACATGAGCAAGCTGAAGCAACTAGGATTGTGTGTGATAACATTTCTGCAGTCTCAATTTCAAAGAATCCAGTCTTTCATAGACGAACCAAGCATATCAAGATTAAATTTCATTCTATTAGAGAAGTCCAACAATCTAATGAACTGATACTTGTTCACTGAAAAACAACTTGGAGACATTTTTACTAAGCCATTGCCTAAATAAAGGAAAAAATTAGAATTTGTCATCAAAATGCTAAGGAAGAGTGTTAGACATATGGCATTTTAATTCCAGCACATTGATCTACTGTTTCTGTTAGTTTCTTTTCAGTTTCATTTAGTTTCTCATCAGTTTTATCCCCTGTATTTAGTGGGGAGTATTTAGGGATGTTAGTAAGTTAGTGGCTGCTTATGGGCTTAAGATTATTAGCAATTTCTCATCAGTTTTATCTATTATGTTTAGCGGGAAGTTATTAGGGAAGTTAGTTATTTTTCTTACCAATAAATTCTGCAGTTCATGAAATGAAATCAAACTGGAATTTTTACCCAATTTTTTAAGTTTCAGTTCTTCTAATTTTTTGTTTTAAGCTACTGCTATTCTGTTTTACAACACTTTTGAAGAACCTTCTCTTGAGGCGTTTGTACAGGACAAACTCTCAGTAAAAACCATAAGTCATGCCACTAGCCAGTTCAGACTTTAAATTACAAAGAAAATCTTTACATGAAATGATAACACTAAGAAGAAAAATAGCAACGTCATCCAATAAAACTGGGACAAGAAAATAATATCTATGC